CACACACACACACACACACACACACACACACACACACACACACACACACACACAATGTTTAAATGTGTCAAAACAGGAAAAAAGTTTGGATTGTTGGTTATTTTATTAAACATGAGGAAAAACAGCATCAGTTCAGGTCACTTATCAGGCCCCAGTTATAATTTTACACAGGGGGGGGGGGCTGTTTAGTTGTTGCCTGACTTGATTTAATGATAAATATGTTTCCAACTGATGGGATCTTTTTATTTCATTATGTAAATTCAGGTGTGTTTCAAGCAGAGCTTTTAAGAATATAAACTTAATTTGTTTAGATTATATTTCTAACTTGATGTTTAAATGTTGTATATTAAATTATTTTGACTTCATTTGGATGTATTTTGTACAAATCTGGATTTGTTGGTCGTACTGCTTTTGTTAGACATAGAAAATAATGAATTTATACATTTGGACAGTCTGAGTGTGTAATGTATTTAAAAAGTGCCAGAGGTTMTACTTGATGGACCTGAGGTGCCTGATGGATTAGTTTTTTTAATTTTTTTACTGTATTAATAGATAATACAGCCTAGTACTGATATGTATACCATGTACATGTGGGAATCAKACAGTACTATGAAGTGGCCAGTATGTACCAGCTACTTATTGTATATGTAGTGTATATACAGGCACTCTGTGTACAAATTGCATGGGTACTTATCGTGTATGTAGATACATACCAGATATTTGCCGAGTACATCTTGATACTTGATGCATAAATGCCTAGCGTGTAGTGGGTACTTTGAGTATATATACTAGGTACTTGTCTGATGTGTATTTCTAGTACTATACAGACTGTGTAGCAGTTAACAGTTGAGACCAGGTGCTTCCATTTTTCCCCCTTTTTTTTTGAGAAAAAAAGCTGTGTTATAGTTTATTTTTTCCCTAAATATAAATAAATTACCTTTCTTTTCACTTTTAAATGTTGCCAAATTGTGTCACATCAAAGCAACAAATGTTTGATTAAATAAACTCAAGTTATTCTGGAAATGTCTTGATTTTTGTCGTTAAGTTCTTGTGCAGGTGAGCAGAACATGTGAGCTTGTTCAGCTGTTATCGTCTGGTGTTCAGCTCCACCTCTGACAGATAACATTTGGTACGACAGGTGGTAAGTTTTCACACTGTAAAACTGGTTAGCCTGAAGAAGTCAGGATGGATTCAGAGAAACAGCATCTTATTGAGATGCACTCTGACTCAGAGGATAGTGGGGACACTGTGTGCACGTCTGAGCTCTGCCAGGAGAAACACAACATGTCAAGAGCTGAAACTGAAGCCAGACGTGTGGCCAGGAGGAAGCTCTTAGTGGCCTGTGTGGTCAGCCTCGTCTTCATGACAGGAGAGGTGATTGGTAAGATCTAACACACATTTACAGATGTATTCTACACCTCTTACATTTGTCATAAAGTTTATCACACATCATTGAAATTCTCTAACTTCTTTATAGTAGTAGCAGTAGTAGTAGTAGTAGTAGTAGTTCTTTATTTATTTCATTTGTAACACAGATTAACAAAGGACAAAAACATGCAATCAGAATAACATCAAATAAAATGAAAGGCAGCAGAAGAAGAATAAATCTTATATCTGCCCCTTTTTTATAACCAAAATTTGTTCAAAAGAAAAGTAAAAATACAACAAAACAAAAAACAACTTAAAACACTTAAAAATGAAATAAAAATAAAAAGACAACAATTAAAAAACAATTAGCATAAATTCACTTATAATTCTCCATATTTCTTCAGAAAACTAGTCTTTATCATTCTCTTCAATATATCTGTCATTTTTAACCTCATCTTCCATGCTGTTCCATAATCTTAATCCCTGGATTAAAGTGGATCTCTCCTTCAGGCTCGAATGAACCCAAGGTTTCATAAACATTTCAATTCCTTTAAGATAATAACAGCTCTGTCTTTTAACTAAATTTACCTGAATGTTGGAAGGTAACACACCTTTATGAGCTCTGTACATTAATATTAAAATATAATCAACCAAATCATAAAAATTTAATGATTTCAAATCATGAAACAATATATTTGATGGATGGCTGTAATTTTTTCTAGTAATAATTCTTATAGCTCTTTGCTGTAAAATAAAAATAGGATTTATGATAGTTTTACAAGCTTTACCCCAGACTTCAATACAGTAAATTAAATGTGGAACAATTATAGCRTTATACAACATAAACAGTGATTTATCATTGAACAGTTCTCTTACTTTGTACAGGACTCTAATTGATCTGGCCTTTTTGTTTTTAAACCATTTATATGATGTTTACATGTCAGTTTTTCATCAATAATGACACCTAGAAACTTCACTTCACTGACTTTACAGTTCTCTACATCATCAAATTTAAATCTATAGTTCTCTTATTGTTACAGAAAATCATTTAAATTGTCTTTTCCAAGTTTAATGACAATTTAAGTTGAAACCAACTTTCTATTTTCATAAATATCATTACCAGAACAAAATAATGTTGCATCATCAGCAAATAGAACACACCCAAAAAGATCTGATACATTTACCAAATCGTTCCCATACAAAATAAATAACTTCGGTCCGAGAATGGAACCCTGAGGCACTCCACATGAGATGTTACAAAACTCAKATCTTACATTATTTATTTCTRCAAATTGTTTTCTATTTTCTAAATAACTAGATACCCACTGTGATGCAGGTCCTCTAATACCATATTTATTTAACTTTTCAAAAAGAATACTGTGGTTAATAGTATCAAACGCTTTTTTTAAATCAACAAAAATACTGACAGTATTTAGTATATATTAGTATATTTAGTGAGTATCAGTAGTACTGAGAGTCTCTCTTTATACCCAGTCTTCTTGTTATTGAACCTGATTAGGTACTAAATGCTCCTCCAGCTGTTTGTTGCCATCAACTTCAAAATGACTGTTTTTTCATAAAATGGTGCAATTTCTTTGTTTAAACATTAACTATGTTKTCTAATATGAATAAGTATTTTTGGAAATATGATTGTAACTAAGAGTAGCCTGTTGTACACACCTTTCGTTCTGTGTTGACTTGTGTAAATGTATCAGTTTGAACAGTTTTTCTGTGTATGTACCATTTTAAAAAAGTCCTGATGTCCCAACAGACACCTTTGAGCTGAGGTAAAAACTTGACCGTTTCCTCTGCAGGTGGATATGCTGCCCACAGTCTGGCCATCATGACGGACGCAGCTCATCTTCTGACTGACTTCAGCAGCATCGTCATCAGCATTTTCTCTCTGCTCGTCTCATCCAGGCCGCAGACAGAAACCATGACTTTTGGATGGCTCAGAGCAGGTGGGAACAAACTGTAAAGGCATAGATTTCCTTTTGTCTGTTGTCTTTATACTAAATATACCTCATGTTGAGAAATCAAGTTGTTGCCCCYTGAAAGTGGACATATTTTATATCCTTCCTTTTCACATTTAAACCCTTCTGTTGAGTCTTTATAAAGTGGAACTGCAATGCTTTGGTCTGAAATTCTCCTTATTCTAACTTTACCAGCCCATGTTTCATCACTTTTCTGATGTGTAAAATGCAGAGAATTAATTTCCTCACCAGAGAATCAATAGTGTGTAAAAAAACAAATATAAAATAAACAYGTGTCTTAAAGCARCTGSATTTGATACTGCTCCTTTAAGATGCTTCAAGCCCCGCCCCCCTCTGGCTTCCAGACCGATCCACTCCGGTTTGAGAGGGGGGGTTAACGTTTTTTTTACAATTTAATTAAAAGATGTCAACAACAGAAGACTTGTCCATCCAGCCTTAYATACTGGAACCAGAGTCTGACCCAGAAACAGTCTGACTCAGAATGACAGRATTAAGATGAGGTAATTGTAGTTGGTAAGTCTAGACCTTATTTGGCAGTTCCTTCACAGATAATTTGATGTAACAGACTCAGAAAACATCATAGAAAATAAAGAAAACTGAACGGAATGAAAAATATAACCCAAAGATATCTTTACAGCACCATGAAGAGACTAAAATCTAAACGTTTCTTCCTCTTAGAGACTCCAAGTCCATAACAAAATGTATTTAACAGCTAACAAAGTGGATTTTGTTGGATATGTCCCCTTTAAATGTTATAAACAATCTCAAATGACAAGATGTAACACTCAGGGTTTGTGTTCAGAATGACTCAAAGTTTAAATCTGAGTCAGAGTTTGAGCTGTGTTTGTGTTGAATAATGTGCATTAGCTGTGGCAGACATAAATTAGACTGAATCTGAATGTTTGTCATGTGATATTATATAATGTGTTATAATTCTTGGGATTACATTGAAAATTATCCTGTTGTTCATGAGATATTTTGCTAACAGGACTACAGTTGATCATAGAGACATTGAAGCATTTGTTTGAAGTTTACAGATAAACTAAAATCTCTCTTAGTTAAGTGTTTTAGTTACTTTTGRTTGCAGAAGGCCTACAGTTTGTTTGGGACAACCATCAGAGTTGGGTTGTTTGAAGTATTTGGGTCATCCACTCCTGGGAGGATGAACCCTTTTGGGTTTTTCACATTTTGCCCACTGCAGAAGACAATGTTTGTGTGTATTCTGCATTTGTTACCTTTTTAGGACTGCTTCGGGCGTACACACCTGTCTTGTCAAGACCAGTAGTCCTTGTGGGGAACAAAGACTGGTCCTAATGTGGTGGAACTCCATTTTTGGGTTGGGGGATAGGTTCAGGGCCAAGGTGTGTGAATGGAGTTTGTATCAGGGTTAGGATAAGGTATGAGGGAGGAGTTAGATATAAGCTATAAGTCAGGGTAATGATATTGAAATGAATGGAAGTCGCTGAAGGGTCCTAATAAGGATAGCACTATGAAAGTGTGTGTGTGTGTGTGTGTGTGTGTGTGTGTGTGTGTGTGTGTGTGTGTGTGTGTGTG